GCTACTTGGCATTAAAATAACAATGTGGCCACGTCCTTGGCACATAAACATGTACTTTTTCTACATTTGTTAATTGTTTTAAACTAATTCGTAATTGCTACCAGACAAAACATAATAGTCCGAGGTATCATGGGAAGAAAAATAAACCTTAAACACGGAGCCCACACGGTTCTTTTTCTTCTCTACGTTTATGCTACAAGAGAACATAGTTTTGTGTATCTCAAGGTTTAGGGGAATAAAAATCCATCGACAAAAAAAAAAAGAATCAAGAGAACATGGTTAACAAAATCCAAATTACTCCCAAGTCCGTGTTTATGTCGCGTAATCTGATTATTATCTGATTGACTACATCTTTGTTATTATTTATTCATTTATTTATATATTAAACATTATATCTACTTTTTTTTTCTCAAATGCTATGTCAGTTTATTTAGTCCATATTATATTATTCACATACAGTTGAGATTTATATAGTTTGTTGTTTTATGTTGAAACTATAAATACAGTTGCTATCTTTCATAAATCCAAGTCACTTCTTTCGGTCCACTAAAACAATCGGAAAACTCAAATCGTTTTTTGTACTTGTATAATTGGTTCAGTTTGGTGTCTCATCTACGGAAAATTCGATCCATAGAGGTTTAGATTTCACTGAAAAATTCGAAGAGTTTCAAATTCTTTGGCTGTGTCTGGATATAAAGCAAAATGGCGGAGATAGGAGAAGTAGAGGAAACGATTGAAGGGAGAAACGTAGGAATTATGTGGGATTTAGAGCAGAAACTTGACCAGCCAATGGATGAAGAAGCACATAAGCTCAAGAACATGTACAAAGAAAAGGTAAATACTATACATAACTTATATCACTTCCAAACCTGCTCTATTCATAGGACTTATAAATATCAGTATGAAATTAAAACAAAATAATCGACTTTATAGTTTAGAGTATCGTCTAAATTTAATCATCTGAAAGCGAGATGAACAATCCACGGTTGAGAATTGAGAAAGTTTTAGATTTAGTTCTTCTTTTGAGCTAGTTCTTATTCGACTATGATATGAGGATAAAGTAATTGAATGCTTTGGGGGAGTGTTATTCACTGACGGATTTAGTGTTGTTATTTTGATATAATGTAGTCTTCAACATTACATGTTGATAATATTTATGAGAATATATATAATGTGTGGTATACCTTCAGTTTTTTTCCCAGCAATTTATTCACACAAGATAAAAAAAAAGTTTTGAAGAATATATAATTTTAGTAAATTCTTAAACTCTTGACTGAATAAGACAAATCTCTAAGAAAAAAAAATGATTTACAAACACCAGACTTTGATCCTTGGTTAAGATCAAGTAGATAATAATAAATTTTGTATAAAATTCATGATTGATAACATCCTTAAGAGTAAGATGTAGAATCTATGAGAAAACTAATTCAATCGTATATGTAAGTTTGAGAGAAAAAAATAAATAAAATTGAGTATATTTTTGTCAACTTGTGTGTGTGTTGTCTTTAGGGTTTATCAACGTTGATGCTTCTGAGGCTAGCCTTCCAGAGTCTAGGGATAGTTTATGGCGACTTAGGCACTTCTCCCTTGTACGTGTTTTACAATACCTTCCCTGATGGAATAAACGACACCGAAGATGTAGTAGGAGAACTTTCTCTAATCATTTACTCCCTCTTATTAATCCCTCTCATCAAATATGTCTTCATTGTCTGCAAAGCTAACGACAACGGTCAAGGTATAGAATCATCACTCTCATAAGTATGTCTTCATTGGTCCTGAATTTACCAAAAATGTGTGCCAGGTGGGACTCTAGCTATTTACTCGTTGCTATGCAGAAATGGTAAACTGAAACTAATCCCGGACCAGCAACGCAGCGACCAGGATCTCACGACTTATGACCGTACTTTCTTTCCTGAAGGGTCTTTGGCTGAGAAAACAATGAGTTGGTTAGAGAAAAAAGATTCTAGAAAGAGAGCGCTTCTGGTTATTGTTCTTGTAGGGACTTGTATGACGGTTGGTGATGGCATCTTTACCCCTGCCATCTCAGTTCTTTCAGCTACTGGTGGGATCAAAGTCAATAATCCAAAGATGAGCAGTGGTATATTCTAATTTTATTTAGGTTTCTGTTTTTTTTTTTTTTTTTTTTTTAATTTTTGTTTTGTTTTGTTCAGATACGGTTGTGATCGTGGCTGTTCTTATATTGGTGGGTCTGTTCAGTATGCAACAGTATGGTACCGACAAAGTTTCATGGCTCTTTGCACCTATTGTCTTTATTTGGCTTCTGTTTATTGGAGGCACAGGTTTATACAACATCTGTAAATATGATACAAGTGTTCTAAAAGCCTTCTCACCCACATATGTATACATGTACTTCAAACGGAGAGGGAGAGATGGTTGGGTTTCCCTTGGTGGAATTCTTCTCAGCATAACAGGTTTAATTATTACCTTTCTAAAATGCTTCTTCTTCTTTGCCTAGCATTTTTTTTTTAAAATGTCATCTCTAAATGCTTTTTTTTTCTTTGTTGTTAGGGACTGAGGCACTATATGACGACATTGCTTATTTCCCATTATTAGCTATACAGCTCGCCTTTACGTTTTTTGTGTTCCCTTGTCTTCTTTTAGCATATTGTGGCCAAGCTGCGTACCTTGTCCAAAACAAAGATAATTATGCAAATGCATTCTACGAATCTATCCCCGGTTTGTCAGAAATCTTTTTAGCCTCTTATTGATTCTTTAATAATACTGAAGTTTAGTTATCTTTTTTTTTGGTTTGACTCCACAGATAGTGTGTATTGGCCAATGTTTATAGTGGCGACAGGAGCTGCGGTTGTTGGAAGCCAAGCTACAATATCAGGGACATATTCCATAATCAAGCAGGCTGTGGCTCATGGGTGTTTTCCTCAAGTCAAAGTCGTCCACACTTCAAAGAAGTTTCTTGGTCAGATTTATAGCCCTGATATCAATTGGATACTCATGGTCGGTTGCATAGCCGTCACTGCTAGATTCAAGGATCAGAACCAAATAGGGAATGCATACGGTATGATACTCTCATCTTAAAACATGTTGATAACCAGAGGTTATTAACTCAACTGGGACGAAACAAATATTACATGTTGTGGTTTCGGGCCCAGGGGTATTAGGGCTGCGGCCCGAACCTCCTGGTAATTAAAAAAAAAACATGTTGATAGAAATCACTGACTAACTGTCTTGGTATACTGATGAAATAGGGACGGCCGTGGCGGTTGTGATGCTAGTGACCACAGTACTCATGGTGCTTCTTATGCTACTCGTGTGGCGGTGCCATTGG